ATCATGTCTCCCTCAGCACTGGTATGATAGAAGAGGATGCACTTGAACTGCTTTCTAAGGTATCTGGGTATACAGATGAAGAAAACGACATAATGGCGAAAGTATCCAAAGCCTTGGACTTTCAGCCACTTGCATTATCGTGTACGGCAGTTTACGTGCGAAGTGTCCGCACCATTAACGACCAATATACGTGGCGTCAGTGTCTAAAGGATCTGGAAAGTGAGCGTGAAAAGCTAGAAACAGTTTACATGGAAACTAGTTTGGCGTACAAAACAACAATGACTGCTGCTGTGAATCTAGCCCTCAAGAGAGAGATCAGCGAAGATGTCATGCTCCATGCATTTCGTTTCCTATCTTTGGTTGCATCAGATCCCATCCCTTTAAAGTATGTTGTGGAGTATGTTGCTAAGTGTATGCCTGACGAAGACCGGAATCTGGTTGCTGTGCGAATTTGTTCGTCGTCGTTGTTAATGCACTCATTGGTTCAAAAAACAAAGGAAATTAGAATTCATCAAGTGGTTTACCACTGTTTCCAAAGACATAGAAATATAAGAGAAATTTCTGTGGACATGTTTACGGTGATTTCTGCATTCTCTCTAATTCCAGTCATTAATGATGAAAATCCAGTGGATGGTTTCAATGTTACAAGGCCACTAGTAAACCACTTGCTAAATGTTTCAAGAAAACTAATATCTTACATCACTAAAGAGTCTGCAAGTGAACGCTTGGTAGATGATCACATGTGTAGTGTTCTCTACCGTTTATCGTCAGTTTTACTCAAGCACAGAATTTTAGACAGCGCAAGAGAGTTTTTAGAAGTGCTTTTAGCGTTGCAAATGTCGAAGTCTATATTGTYAAAAACACGAGAAATATTAATCGTTTTAATGGATAGCAATCACGTCGAATATATTTTAAATGTAGACATTAACGGTATCTCTCCATCAGTGAGTGATACCTTGAACAACTTAGGCAATTTATATCAGGAACAAGGTCGACTGCAGGAATCAATGACATATTACGAGAAAGCCCTTGCCATCAAAATAGCTGTGTATGGTGAAAGCCATCCATCGGTGGCTGATACCTTGAACAACTTAGGTATTTCATATCGGAGACAAGGTCGACTGCAGGAATCAATAACTTATTACGAGAAAGCCCTTGCCATCAAAATAGCTGTGTATGGTGAAAGCCATCCATCGGTGGCTGATACCTTGAACAACTTAGG